CCCAACTCCACCAAGCTCGCGGTCGCGGGCTATGGCATCGTTGCTCAGGATATACTTGGCCAAAATACTATGCTCTGGCCCAGAGATCGCCTCGCCTCTGCGAGACTTCCCATTCGCGTGTTGCAGCAACTCGTGAAGACTCCATGATGGCACTTTCTTGACGCGGCAAAAAGGACACACAAAGGTGCCCTCGCCACGACCACCAAACCTGATGCCTTCATTGGAGAGGCCGAGTAGGATCTCGCTCTCCTTCTCTTCGAATTCAGACTCGTCTGAATATGAGTTTTCGATCTCGGAGTCACTGTGGCCTGCCATGCTTGCGGAGACAGTTGAAGAAAGAAAGAGAAAGATCAACCGCAAAATTTTGCAAGTTCAGAGTGGAGAAAGCAACACACCGCACCCCCTTCTTATACGAAGCAATGGCGACGATTCGCATGGCAACGTTGACTTCCGTAGGCGCATATTTCTCGTCGATTCGCCTCGCTGTGTACCCAACGCATCCATTCAATGGTGACCATTCGCTTGGCAGCGTCGAGTTCCCAAGGCGCGTATTTCACGTCGCTTGGCCTGACAGCATACCCAAAGCATTAAAAAACATTGGAAACGCAACCGCCACAATGGTCATCAATTAGGAGTGCGATTCACACGTAAGAACATGCCGTACCCAACTGCGATGTTGTGGGCTACGCCGTCGAGATCGCACCCAACGTCCAACATCAAGTGGCACAGGGCACTATGTGGCCGGACGATACTCTTTAAATAACCGGAAAACAAGTTCGTCACAATAACTCTTCCTCAATCAATCAAATTAAATTTCACAAAAAACTCCTCAATCAACGTACATCCCGCTGCTGCGCCTCTCCAGCCCTCCGGCTCACCGCCGTCCACTCGTCGTACCTCCATCTACGCCGGCAATCATGGCGGCGAGGCAGCACCCCACGTTGCTGACGGCGCTCCCTGTCAAGGTGTAAATTGAGATCGCCGGCCACCTTGCTGCAACCTCGGAGCGGTCTATGGACGACCTCCGCAGCCTACGGGCGACGTGCTCGTCCCCTATTGATGCCAACTCAGTGCACAAGGAGGCTGTGCTTAGCTATAGACTGGACAAGGTAGAAGAGCAAATTGAGATTTTTTGGAAGCAAAGAGCCCATGCCAACTGGCTACAGAAGGGGGATCGAAATACGGCTTTCTTCCATAGATGGTGTTCAGAGAGGAGGAGGAGAAATGGGATCGGTAGACGCAAAAAGGAGAATGGGGGTTGGGTGGAGGAGGAAGCAGAGAAGCAGGAATTTATTGCTAATCATTTTGTGCAGCTTTTCAGATTGGGGGCCATGGGTGATACACACCAGCTGCTACAAGCCAGGGTCTCTGAGGAGATGAACACTGAGCTTGTGCGGGAATTTACGCACGAAGAAGTGAAACAAGCGCTGGAGTCTATAGGCGATTTGAAAGCTCCCGGCCCGGATGGCATGCCGGCCCTTTTCTACAAGCACTTTTGGGATACAGTGGGTGATCAAGTGTCACAAGAGGTGTTGGCAGTCCTGAATGGTGGTGCTATGCCACAAAATTGGAATGATACTATTATTTCTCTGATTCCCAAGGTTCCAAATCCTGAAAAGGTAACGGATCTCCGGCCCATAAGCCTCTGCAATGTGGTGTATAAATTAATTTTCAAAGTGATCCTGCCTGACGTTGTCACCCCAAGTCAGAGTGCTTTTGTCCCAGGTCGTCTCATCTCGGATAATATTTTGATAGCCTACTAGTTGACACATTATATGCTGAATAGAAGAAAGGGAGATCTAGGCTATGCTGCTATCAAACTCGATATGAGCAAGGCGTATGACCGGGTAGAGTGGGTTTTTTTAGCTGAAATGATGAGGAAGTTGGGTTTCTGCCAGACGTGGATACAATTAATTATGAAATGTGTGTCTACTGTCACTTATCGGATCGAAGTCAATGGGGGCACTATCGGAGGCTTTTAAACCAGAAAGGGGTCTCAGGCAGGGAAATCCTTTATCACCGTATTTGATTTTGATATGTGCAGAAGGTTTTTCAGCTCTTCCGAATAAAGCGGAGGAAGATGGACTGATTGCAGGGATAAAAATCTGCAGGAATGCGCCTAGTATTTGTCACCTACTTTTCGCTGACGACTCTTTGATCTTGATTCGGGCGAAAGGGGAGGATGCTAGTCAGCTTCTGAGCATTCTGGAGTTGTATGAGCAGTGTTCTGGTCAGATGATCAACAGGCAAAATCAGCTATCCTTTTCAGCACAAACACAAAATCAGCGCAGAGAAGAGAAGTGAAAGAAATTCTTGAAGTAGAGAAGGAAACTATGAATGAGAGATATCTTGGACTTCCTGTACATGTGGGGAGTTCCAGATCCGAGGTGTTTGCATACTTGAAAGACAGAGTGTGGAAGAGAATACAGGGTTGGAAGCAGAAATGCTTATCATGGGCGGGGAAAGATATTTTGATCAAAGCCATTGCCCAGGCTATTACAACCTTTGCTATGGGCTGCTTTGATATAACCAAAACCATGTGTGATCAAATTAGTGCGATGGTCTGATGGTATTGGTGGAACCAACAGGAGGGGAAACACAAAATTCATTGGCTAAGTTGGGAGACCATGATCAAACCCAAGAAGGAAGGGGGGCTCGGGTTCAGAGATATCCATGCCTTTAACATTGCGATGCTGAGCAAGCAGGCTTGGAGATTACTACAGAAGCCAGACTCTCTTTGTTCCAGGGTTCTTTAGGCCAAATATTACCCCGGGTGTACATGCTTAGAGGCTCAAGCACGACCCGGTATTTCTTACTCTTGGAGAAGCATACTCAGGGATGAATATAGACACCAGGTGTGTGGTCTGCCAGCGATTTGATGAAGATGGGGCGCATCTTTTCTTCAAATGCAAGTGGTGTTACCTGGGCATGAACCGAGAGAGGGACTTACTGCTGGCCAAATCCTCTGCAAGGGAGGTGATCGAAACTACCATGGCTATGCGAGAGGAGGAGCGACTGAAGTGCTGCTTCGTGCTCTGGATTTGTTGGTTTGAAAGGAACCGCATTAGAGAGGGTTTACCTGCAAGGGAGCCGGCTTGGCTTGTACACAGTATTCAAGTGCAGTTAACTCAGTGGAGCTGCGAAGACAAAGGTGTCCCAACAGCTAGAAGAGGACGAGTGCAGAGATGGGAGAAGCCGGCCGAGAATTTTGTGAAAGTGAATTGTGATGCTGCTTGTCAGTCCGACACAGGCAACGGAGGCTGGGGATGTGTCTTGCGTGACTCGGATGGTGACTTCGTCATGGCAAGGCGGGGGAGAGTGGAGGCGCTGATGAGTCCGATGCATGGACAACTCATTGCGGGCATTCATGATGTCCAAGCCGCAATAGATGCCGGTGTGGGTCATGTTGTTGTGGAGACGGACGCTGCAGAAGTGGTGAAAGCGGTGTATTCTGAAGCTTATGATTTCAGCACGATGACACACCTTGTCCAGGAGTTGCATAGCTTGCTAGTTGATAATTTCATCTCTTGGTTTGTTAAATATTGTCCACGATCTTGTAATAGGGTTGGCCATTAGCTGGCGATCCTAGGTAGTGCTTGAGATGAAGATCCAAATCTGGACTCCATTCCGGCTTGTATCCAGTGTGTACTCGCTGATGATTCAGCCGTTCTCGAGTAATGGAAATAGCTATTTCCCCTTAAAAAAATTTATTTCCCACCTCGTCATGGATTTTTTCTACCTTTTCTAATAAAAACTCAAAATTGATTTCCATGCCATATGATATTATCATCGTAATATCTACAAAGCCTTTGTAAAACAAATCAACAACATGTATCTGTGAACAAACGTGAGTTGCTCTATATGATGGACTGGGTTTAAAAAACCCATGGGTTTATGGGTTTGGGCACTACGCTCCCAGACCCACACCCGTAGACCCACTGGGTTTAGCTTTTTCTCCATTAACAAACCCATGGGTAGAGACATTGACCTAGACCCCATACCTAATAGGGTAAAAAAATCCATCGGGTTCCAGGTTTCAGGCATCCGTTGCCATCTTTAGATGCGCTCCCATACCTGGCACGCCAGCTGTCATGGGATCGTAACAGCGGCGAGCATCATGGTTGTGTGGGTCTCCGGTGGCTCGGACACTCAAAACACGAAAGGGACAACGATTTATCCTACTTCAGGCCTCTGAGCCCTATGTCTAGCAGTATAGTAATCTTCCTGTTAAGGAATGCCTAATCCTACAACGGTGGAAATCGGGAGAGTTTTATAGGGGATCGCTCGATGCTACCCTAGAGTTTGGCAGGGGGTTTCAACCTCGCGCCCTCCTCCTTCCCCTTCTTCCTCCTGACTAGCGTCTTCTCCTCTCCGGCAACCCTCGCCCCCGCCGCCGCCCACCGCCACGTCATGACGCGCTAAGGTTTCACCGGAGCTCCACGGCTGCCACCGCCCCGACCTAGCACAACCGCCTCCACCATCGCTAGGGCCCCAAAACCGCCCTGCCGCCGTCCCCACCACCTAGCCAGACTTCCTTTCTCCAACCCCTTCTCTTCTAAGCCCACCGGAGTTGAGGAGGAGGAGGACATACCTCGCCGATGATGAACTCATCGTCGCCGCCGGAACCCTAACAGTGGGGCCGCAGTGGGGTGCGGGCGCGGCCACCGGCTAGGACCTCACCAGAGTTGGGGCGCGAGTGCGGCCACTGGCGAGGACCTTGCCAGAGTTGGGGCGTGGGCGTGGCCACCGGGGAGAGAGCGCGCGATCTCCGGGAGAAGAAGAGAGGAGGAGGAGGATAAGTTGCGGTGGGGACTGGCGTGCGGTGAGTTAAGCGCCCGCACACCTAGAACAAAGACAATGCATTTATTTCTGCTAGCCAAACTTCAAATTTGTAGACCTTTAGCGTCAATAATATCATATACTAAATTTAAGCCAAGAGGTATATAGCTGGTGGAAGACCATATAGACGGTTCAACTATACTGGTCCAAAAGCTCATAAGTCATACCGCATGAACAGCGAAAGGTAGGCGAACCGAGTGCGCACCATCTGACCAGGTGACGGCGCCGTGTGCGTATCCTTTGTTCACGGCGGCATTATTCCCATCATGGGAGGTCACCTCGAACTTGGCAGTGGCTCCCCTGTGTGAGAACACGAGACGCTCCGGCACCACATGCACCGTCAGGCCCAGCGGCGTCTCCACGGTGGCCTTGTAGGTGGTGTCATTGGACGACCCCACGTTTGTAACGGTGCGCGCCACGGTGACCACCTTACCGGCGTGGAGCCGTCGCACCGAGATGGATGGGTAGTTGACGCGCGCGGCAACAAGGTCTTCGGAGGGCGCGTCGGCCGGGCAGGCGAAGCGTGCGACGCCGGAGATCTTGCGGACGCGCTTGTCGTCGTAGCCGTAGTAGCAGAGGACGTCGAGGTAGTCGTCTGTGGTGGTGTCGAACACCAGGCCCGGGCTGAGTGCCCGTAGTGGGCTCACCTCCCCGGCGCCCATGTCGTGGCCTGTAGCCACGGTGCCGGCGCTGCTCGCCAGAGGCTCCCCGAGGTTGTTCCTCGACGTCGCTGCGTCGTCGTACCGACCAAATTAAGGGCGTTAATTTGTCATAATTTAATTATTTAGGAAGGGAAATGCTCTGACCAACAAAATATAGACCTGTTGTCATGAGAGCTGATCGGATCATGGACGGGCTCCAGCCAGGGTGGGCAGATTTGAGGAAGGCGGCAGCGCCGGCAACGTGTGGACAGTCCATGGAAGTGTTCCAGACTTGGATTGCGAACGCTGAGGGCTGCTGCTTGTCCTTGTCCATGGACGGGATCACAGTTGCAAGTATGTCAACTCCAGGCGCCATCACATCAGGCTGCCAACACAAAGGTATATATATTAGCATGATGCGAGCAGGCAAGTTACTCAAAGATAATGGAAGTGTAAATAGACCTTTAAGATGGACTCCGTGAGGCTACCAGGGCCACGCGATGACAAGGATGCTGCGACAGGGGCCGGCTTGAATTGAATCCCTTGACGTCCACGGTCGGGACTACGGAGGATGGTCGCCGTCGGTTTCCTAGCAGATACATACGTAGACACAAATTTGGTCATTATTAGAGGAGCTCCAAAAAGTTGAGATAGGAATAAATTTTGTTTTTTTAAAACCAAAAAAATTATACTGCAGCTAGCTCACATTGTAGTGTTGATGTAGTGGAGGATGTGAGCCCCGCGTCGTCGGCGCTGACTTGGGAGAAAGGGAAATCGCCTGTCGACAACGCCGAGTCCTGCCCGTTGCCGTCGATGAGTACCAGGCCCCTCGCGCCTGCCTGCTCGGCGGCGATTGGCTTCACCCGCCGCGGCACAGATCTGTCCGTGCCGATGCAAACTACAATCTTCCCGGCCACCTTCCGCGCGTCCAGCGATCCTGGGTAACAGTTGCTGCATGCATGGCACATTTTGTGGTACGTCGCATTTGCTTCGCGAAGCCTCATTTGTTTGACAGCATGCAACTGACCTCGAGTCGAACACGGTCGTATGCCTGGCTGCGACCTGGCGACCAAACACGACGGGATACCGACCTCCGCTGAGGCACTGGTTCGAAAAGTTGATCGCTACTCCCTGCGTGCTGACACGACCAAATTAAATACTTATTCCATAAAAGGTGCTGACACGGTTGATCTCACTACCGTTGCACAAAGCCAAAGGCAACTAGCAGTGTCAGTCACACAAGGTGATTACCTTCACGACGGTTCCTTTGCCGAGAACGACGTGACGCCGGACTGGAAGGCGCGGTCCATGGTGGAGGCGGCGACGGTAAGGATCCACGGAGCCGTGTTGACGACGGTGTAGGGCTTAGGCCCTTCATTAATTGCCGGGAGAGCAGACAACCAGCACGCCGTGCTGGTGCGCGTGGAAGGCGCCGATAGCGATGGGGTCGTCGAGGAACTTCGCCTGCTGGGGGCCGCCGCCTGTGCCGATGGAGACAGATATGACGTCCACGCCGTCTCTCACGGCGTCGTCAATGGCCTTGAGTATGGCGGAGCTTGTGCACCCGTGGCTCGAGCAGGCCACACGGCCACACGGCTCGCCGGCGCCCCGCCCTTGGCCGTGCCCCGGGCGAGACCGTGGTAGCTCGCGTGGGGCACGGCTGCGCTGGCTGCCGTCGACGCTGTGTGTGTACCGTGCCCATGGGTGTCCCGTGGCGAGCCTCCTGTCGCTGCCCCAGTGCGAGAGGCGTTTTTTGACTCTGTGGACGCCGAAGACTCATTGTCGTCATGTTGGGTGAGGTCGTAGTACCCGGCGCCTATAAGCTTCCTCTGACAGTCACAGTGTGCGCACACGTCACACAAGCATGCATGCATAATGTTATGTTATCACGGTCGCGGTGACAGAGAGAATATGAAGTAGTAGTAGTTATTTCTACTTGTTGCAGTTACTCTTGTTGAAGTCCGGGCCTTCCAGGCAGACGCCGCGCCACCGTGATGGCACCTCCGGCATCCCAGCGTCGTTGAAGCTCGGCGACTCCGGCCAGACACCAGTATCAACGACGCCGCTGATGACATCGCCGGACGCCCGGCGGCTGAGGCGGTCGGGCCAGAGCCCAGACTGCGCGTCCAGGAAGTCCCACGACCTCGTAGTGTGCAGCTGCAGCACTCGATCCCGGAACACCGACACCACCCTCTCGTGCCCTGAGAGAGTGGTGGCCTCCTCCTGGGTGAGCAGGGTGGCAAAGCCCTCAAACGCGTGGTGGTAGCTGTGCCGCAGCCACAGCCTCTCCGGCTGCTCGTCGCTGGGGATGACGGACGACAGCAACTGCAGGTGAGCGGCCCGCACCGCCTCTGGGTCGCTGCTGCCACCGCCGCCCGTTGTTGCGCGCCCCATGTACACCACGTATGGCTGCAATGCATTGTTGTCCAGCATACACGATATCCGCAGACAGCAGGATTCAATTTCGTTCGTTGCTAGACAAGTCACAAGGCATTGCACGATAACAACTACGGCAGAAAAGAGGATCTACTCCGATCATTTGTAGGAGTATATATGGCTCGATCCTACCTCCTTGGTCTGACCTGATTCAGCTGCTGAGAGCGGTAGCAGGGACACACAGGCGGTGAGGAAATAATGCACTCGGCTCATCATCACCATTGCTGCACACTTAGCGTCGTACGTGCTCGCAGCTAGCAGCCGAATAAGATGGTGGTTGGTGAGCACTCCAAGTATACAGGGAACTACATATGACTGGTCTACTTATATAGCTGGGGAGGGGAATATCTCCTCAGCTAATTTGTATGTGTACGGCGTATATAGGCGTACCCGGTTTTCCTCCTGCACTAAGGCTTCAACGACAACGATTCTGCACACGACAAGAGGCTACTGTTCAATATTAGATTTGGTTTGATTAGATTCCTGTGCCTTTCCTACTCAGATTAAGTTTTTTATGGTCACAAGCTGTTATTTTTTAGAAAGGCAGCTAAACGCCACAAACACAAAACGTAAAGTTACCCATCATAAAGTAGGATAAGAACGTGCACCGTGTCATGCATGCATTATATTACTGGTCTTAACCACAGATGTGCTTTATCACACAATTAATTAAAAACGTTAAAGAAAAAAAAGGTGCTCGTGCCTATGCTGTCAACCATTTCTATTAAAATTGATTGGGCCCGACAGATGATGGAGGCATGAATGCCGGTCTAGCGCACACCATCCCGCGGTGATGGTGTAGACATCAACACCGCACGGGCGTACCATCCGGCAGTGATGGTGGAGGCATCAACCCACAATAGGTGCACCAATGAATTTAACGTCAACACCATTAGCACCCTTAGAAAGTAAATAGCAAGAATCAAATCTAATAGATGATACATTGTTAGCCTTGTTCTTACGATATTGCTCTAAGTGCCCAACTTGCTTGCACTTATACCTCAAATAACAAAAGAAAGAAATTTCTTTGTAAAATAAAATTAAGGTCTTTGCTTTTACTTAAAGCATTCTTTCTTTTACCTAGAAGAAAGAACTAAAAATAAAAAAATTAGGCAAGTACGATTTTTTTTCGAATCCATTCTATCAAACGAACAGTTCTTACCTTAACCGCCAAGCCTTGATTAATGAATCTACAAAATCCCTCGAATTGGATCTGACTAAATCCGAGTATTGTGGACATTCCCTCATTTCCATTATGAGGCATTTGAATCTTAAGTTTCATATTTATAGAAGAAAAATTCCATTATCAACTCACTCTTCACCAATCCCTCAAACAACTATTCAGAGTTCCTAGAGCTCCTTGTACAGCTTGTTGGAAAACCTGTTATCAGACCTGATTCATCGCCCTTTGTTTTTTTAAAATAAAGGGTTTTGTTTTTAGACTTTTCTAATTGTTCCTGATTAGAAAAATACATGAAAAAGAAAGGAGGTAGAAAATTTTGTTGATTTATGGTTAAAGAAGAAAAACAAGAAAACAAGCCCCCTCACAAAGTGTGTCTTGTGAGTAGCAAAGGCAGCCTTGCCTTTCTTGGGAGTATAGGCCAATCCCTCTTTGTTGAGAGAAAACCTTTCATCTCGGAGACCGCTGGGGGGGAAGGAGGACGAGTCCGCTTAGAAGGCTGGTGAAAACCGGCGGAGGCAAAGCCTTCGCCGCCCGACGATTGGGCCTCAAGAGGAAGCATGCTCTAGGATACCGATGGGCCTCCGGTGGGTCCAAAGCAGGGCCCAAGAAACAATGCAGTAGAGAAGGAGAAGGCCTGAGATGCCCCTAATAGCAAGGAGGAGCCCTAGAATATGCTCTACCAATTGAAGGGTAAAGATGTAAAAGAACTCTACCTTATACTGAGCGAACCCCATGTAAAAGAGAGAGACTCATGAATCAATGAAACCCCAATTGTGTCATGAGATCTGTTGTGTTGTTCGAGTAAGTGTTCACCTGCGGTGGAGATCCTTTGTCACTCAACTCGCTGAGACAGCTTTCCCAACATTGACGCCCGCTGTGCTAGGCCAAGCAAAACCCCACTATGCCACGCAAAAGGCAAGCCTCCGCTAGTGCCCAAGCAGAAACTTCAACTAGAGGAAGGCCCAAGCACACCACTCATAGTACATATGCTAATACTTCATAAGCCCAGTTAACGTAGAAGAGGCCACCCTAGTAATCGAACTGGCGGGCGAAGGCGATCAACCAAACCCCAACCCTACACCAGAGCAAGTGCTCCAGCAGTTACAAACTAATATGCAAAGGGTTCGCAGTAGCCTTCGCCACAAGCCAAAGACAAATGTCACAGCAAGCATCAGAGAAGTCCGGCAACAACTAGCAATCCTACAAGCCGAAATACAAAGCTTATAGCCAAATCAACCCCATCGAACAACTCCAATCAACCCCAACCTGCGCCTCGAAGCCAACCAAACTGTCGCACCCAATTTTGCATAGCAAAACCAGGTACTCATATATGTGCGCCCAGGATGTCCAAACACACATATATCACAAATTGTAATAGCATCAAAGTAAAGTACTTATTACACCGCTTATCTCATCACAATGTTAATACAAAGTTTGCTCAATGGCAATATTATTACATACAGAGCGGAATAACTAGCCCAATCTGCCACAGGGACTCCAACTGGTGAACATCTCCCTAGTAGTCCTGGACATCCTCCGGAAACTCTTCATACCCATTATCTGTTACCCATCCGGGATTTTCATTGGATGTAAAGCAAGTGTAAGCTCACCATGCTTAGCAAGTATATCAAAGGGATCTATGAGGCTCAAAGGCTTGACACGGTTTGACTGCGGTTTTTGCAATTTTAGTTGATCAAGTTTTTAGCATCTTGAATCACTACTTTAGTGAACAATCCCAAATTCCCAAGTGATATTAAAGTATAATCAAGTTTACATCAATTCCCATCCATCCACAGTAACCACTAATCATGAAGGATCCAGACCGCTCGTATCCATGAGCACGGTTGTTATTACAGGTCAAATATTTCTACAAAAATTGTACAACTTTACCCACCGAGCCGTGATTCCTAATGCCGGGGTTTGCAAAGCCCACTACACCTCTACCTAGGAAGTGTGGCAGGGTTTCACTACGTAACTCTTAGCTAGTCGCACTAACAAGTCATAAACTGCTAAGGTTTCAGCCGTCTAGCCGTATGTGGCTCTAGGAGTGGCACACGTGGTCGCGGCACGGTACACACACCCTAGCAGGAAAGGAAACATACCAACTAGTGCCCTCCTCTTGCCCTTATGGAAAGCTATAGACGAGCTAGTACGATCTAGTTAACAGGTTAAAGTCAGAGCCATATGACACTCAGGGTTGTACGACACCTCCTGGGTGGCCGCTTCAAGATTAAGTCCTTATGGAGAGGCACTAGAGTAGTCAACCCCGTACTCTAGCCCCCTAAATGTTGCTAAAAAGCTCCATTTTATTATATTGCATGAAATAAGGTGCAATGGCATTTCTATAAATAAACTGAACTTATTTTTGAATTAAAGCAATAAAAATATGAATTTACACGGTTACTGGACTACGCGTACTATTTCCAGAAACTATAGGGACCTAAACGAATAAAAATAGGACTGATTAATAATTTATTTGAACTGTTATGGACTATGGGTTGATTCACTAGAAACTGAGGGGCTTTTCTGCAAAACTGGCGTGGCTTGACTGTGGGTTGACCGCACTGCTAACTGGGCAGCCACGTGGCCAAATGCGATTGGCGCGGTGCACCACGCGGCGTGGGCGCGCGCTGACGCGGCACCGGGGGCGGGGTCCATGGGTCCACGGTGGACCAGTCATGTATCGAACCGGTACGTTCTATTCTCAACTGTTCACGCACGATCTAATGGCGCAGGGTTCACGGGAGTTTCTCTGCCGGCTGCACTGTACCGCCGGCGAGCCTGCCATGGCCGGCGGTGAGGCGAATACGACGGCGAACGCCGGTACGGCGATTTCGGCCATCCCAAACCAATCCGAACCCACTGACGTGAAGCGCGGGACCTCGCGAACTTAACGGATGCACTACAGAGGGCGAGAAACACACTGGAGCGACGTCCTGTGGTGGCGCCATGGCCGGTGGTGTCTGGAGTTCGCTGGTACGGCGTTCCAGTGCACTATTTGATGAATGGAGGGCATAGGAAGACGGAGAAGCTCACCGCGAGGTCGAAGGAAGGATCTGCAGCATCCGAGAAGGCTCCGACGGGGCGGATCGACGTCGGCGGTGAACTAGAGAGGGAGAGGATGGTGCGGGTGAGGGTGAATTCGAGCAATCCGAAACCAAATCAAGGAATTGAGGTCACCTACGGTTGTGTCAGGTCACGACGGAGCTTTGGGAGTGGCGGAGCAGTGGGCTACGGGGCGGCGGTGGCGAGCTCGAGCGTGAACAGAAGAAAGGGAAGAAGGAGAGGGTCGGGCTCAAGTTTTATAGGCCGGACGGGGTGCGGTAGATGGAAGGGGAGCGGGAGGCGGGCAGAATTGGTCGCCTGCCTTGTAGGCGCGGCGGTGGTGACTTTCCATGCTTGGCAGCACCATCGTCGGGGGACGAAGAAGGAAAGGAGCACCGAGGGAAGAAAGGAAAGGAAGGGGAAGGAGAGCGCGGGCGCTGACGTGTGGGGCCAGTGGCACAGTGAGAGGGAAGGGAGCGGACAGGCGCGTGCGGGTGTGGTCGTGGGCACTGCGGGCCATAGTGCCGAACTGGGCTGCATGGTGCACCAAAGCAGGCCCTGAGCAGCGGGCGCGCGTGTGGGAAAGTGGGTAGGAGGGGAGGCGCGTGGAGCAGGCCGCCGAGTGGGCCGCTGCGGAGCAGGCCGTGCGGAGGAGAAAGGAAGGGAGAAAGGGGAGGCACGGCTGGGCTGCCGAGCAGGCCAAAACTTAGAAGGGGAGGAAGTGAAGGGCCAGGCCAGTTCTAGGGCTAGGCTAAAAAGGAAGAAAAGAATATTTTTTCAAAATCAAATTCTTTTCCAATTCTAGTTTTCAAATCGAAGCCAAATTCAAATGGAATTTGAATTCAATTTCATCCATTCTAGCCCTACACTCAACCAAAAATAATATGCTTCGGCATGAATGCAACAAACATGTTTCTAAACCTTATAGTTAATTTTATTTAACCAAAATTTATTATTTGGCCTAAGTTAAAAATACATAGAAAATTAAATAAAT